GTAGTTGAAATGGTTCTCTTTGAAAATAACAGCTGAGCAAATTTGAAAATTACATGAATCATAAAAAATGTTAAATAAGAAAAAAATTGACTCATAAACTATTTTTACAGGGTATCTCATAAAAGTTGCATCAGAAAAGTGAAACACTAAATTTATCTACAAAAAAGGTAAAAATATAAAAGATTTTAAATTATATTTGGCTATTGAAAAGCTATTTTTATTTTACGTCGAACCCTGTTTTGAATAATAAAATGTTTCATATTGGAAAACTCGTTTTTTATCCTGGGTTCATTGTGTACCTTTAATTAAAATATGACAATTATCATATTACACATTAAAGCTTCGAACATATCGAGTTGCTGTTTCCGAAACGTTATCAGTCAAAATGCAAAAATGAAATATTAATGAATTAACTTATAAAATGCAACAGAAATTCGATGTACAGCTTATTATTTCTGAAGTGAGAGCGGGAAAGTACGTGAATTATTTGCACGAAGTACTCTTGCAGCGATTTATCGAATAATAAAGAATATGAAATAGCTTTTTCTCGTTACATACTCTTCTCTCTCTTTATCTTTTTCACATCTCTAATGCATATCGGTAAAAGAATTCGTAGATGAGAATAGGGTATATCGCTGCTGAAAGAGAAAAAATCGACTGATACGCTAGCGATGTAAGAAAGCATTTACTAGTCTGATGTTCTCAACTTGATCGAATATATACAAGTGGAATCGAAAATATCTGCGCTCGAGAGGAAAGTATCAAAATGTTAAAGGAAAGGCGAGGGATGGGAAGTAACAGCACAATATTCCACGAGGAGCAGCTATAGTCCTTACAATCGGAAAATTTTCCTTTTTACTAGTCTTGAATATATGTATTTAAAAAAGAAAAAAAGAAGAGAGTAATGCCAAGCCAGGTGTTACCGAATCCACTTTCGACGAGCCTCACTCGTTTATGTAAATTACCTTTTCGTTGAATATAAAAAGGCGTAGTAGTTCGCAGGACGTAGTTCACCTTGGGGATTTTCGTGTCGGTGAAAAATGACAAAATAACTGAATTTTGATTTTATCGTACACGCTTTTTATTCGACAAGTTTTTTCCCGTCAGTGTGTATACGCTGCGCGCGCGTGTGTGTATACTCGCAGCCAATGCCCGTCGCTTCCTATCGCACATCTAATTGCAAAGTTGGACAAGAAAACAAGGATAGGAACAAGAGAGAAAGAGTACTTGGCAAACAAGAGGAAAGAGAAAGAAAACCAAGTAAATACAAGTCCCAGTTCGTTTAAGAGAAAGAAAGCGTATTATAGTATGTGTGTGTATAAACACGAGAACGCGCGTGATGAGGAAACGGAGAGAGAGAGAGAGAGAGAAAAAAAAAGATCTATGGGTCTTGAAAGCGAGATGAGTTGAAGAAAGGAAGAGGTAAAGCTGAAGCTACCGTTGATGCTTCTCTATCTCTTTTTCTCTTTTTTAAGGTGTGATGCGCGAGAGGTTCAGGAGCTTTTCGAGGAGAAAAAGTAGAAGGTAGCTTTACTATATAGGTATACAGAAATAGAGCGGCAAGACTACTCTGCTCTGGTGTTTCGAGCGAAATAGAAAAATCTCTCTCTTATTTGCAGCTCATTACAAGGTACACTGCAATTTTTCTTCCTTCCTGTCTTCGCGCGCGCCGGCTAAGCAAAGAAAAGTGCTGCTGCCGACGCTACCTGTGCCTGCTTATATTTTTTGTCAACTATAAGCTCCGTATTTTACTTTCATTTTTGATACTACAATCGAATTGTAAAATGAAGAGGAAATTGGTGTACCCACGTTTCAACTAAATTGAATTCCACTCGAAGCGATAATTGAGTCAAATTTCACCCAATGAAAGGATAATGCACACGTGTATGCTTTGTACTTTTTCCAGGGAAAAAAAGGATGCTTCGTTTCATTTCATCTGCATAATTGTCAAATATAAAAAAACTGCGTACACACAAAGTAAAGAGAGGCAAGGGAGAGGGTGAGGTGGACTGGGAATGAAGAAAAATCTCCATATTATCTCGAACTAGTACTTGTCAGTCCGTGCGACGCGCGGCAGCAGGCAAAAACTTGGGTTCGAGTTTAGCACTTCATAATTTGGAGGTGTGTACGCGGAGTAGTAGTAACGAGTTAGTAAAATTGTCAAAGCTCGAAAACCGAAAAAACCAGGCCAAAAGTCTGACCCTCGAAGCGCTGGAATGCAATTTTCGCAAACACAGGAACACCAAAAGAAACTTGATTAATCACGCTGGTGTGGTATTTTTGGGGAAAAAAGTTTGAATTCACATTACGCTAAAATACGTATATACACTTGAAAGCATTAAGAGCATCGTGTTCATAAAAAAATGAAGCTACGTATGCGAATGTGAGTATTTTATTAGCATCATAAGCAGCAGTGTAGCTGTAAAATTTGTTGTCAAAGTATGACGAGAACATTTGACATTTATTTTATCGAGCTGCATGTGCCATTTGGGAGCAAAAAATGACCATCACAATGATATTTTTTGGCGCGCGTTTATACAGGGACGAGAGCCGTCACTAGGAACATTATATAAAGTTACTTGGAGCAGATGCTGAAGTTTTCGCAGCTCTTGGCCGTCTCCCTCACTCGGCGAGTTTCTTCTCTCTTTCAATGTCGCGTTCGCGCTAAAAAGCACCAATTAAAGTTATAGTTACTAAACATGACAAAGTTTCTGCTATGTAAGTTCGTTAAAGTCATTACTTTGACAGAAAAGAGAGAAAGCGAGAAATACAACGAATGTTTGAAATGCCTTGCTTTGATGGCTTGTTTGACGTACTAATAAAAAGTGAGCGGGTGAGAGAGAGAGATGGCCAATTTGTCATCGAATGTCTCGTTTGCGTACTTTAACGAACTTTTGCGGAGTGCGTTAAAAATACGAGAAATAAATTTCTATGCCGCCTTCGGCTTATTACAGTCCATCTAATATCGCATCCACTCGCATCCGAGCTTTTGCACATACATCTTTGCACGCACATACACACACACACTCTCGCTTTTGCGTACGTGGGGGGACGCGCGCGACACCGTCAGCAATGTATATGCCATTTGATTCTGAATAATTCATGGCTCGAGACTCAACTTTCGAGGGTAGGGTGGCTCGACGTCTTGTGAATACGAAAATCCATCTCGGCTGCGTGTGCGCACGTTGCCGAAAAATAAAAAAATGTATATATAAAAAAAATTGCATCCTCGCGCTCGTGCCTAACTTGATTAAGCCATTAATAATATCCGATTGTCGGATAACGTTTTTTACATAATGTATTCCCATGGCTTATTTTCCATATAGCATGAGCGAAAAGGCTGGATTTTACAGGCACGCGCGCATTTGTTGACCGAATGACGAGTTATAAAATAAACATGCCAGACGAACGTTGGCCTGAGCGCGCGTGTTTGTTTATTTGTGGCTCTTTATCGCCGCGAGAGACACCACTGGCCTTTGATTGCGAAAACCAGCAGTGTATAACGGATGGAAATGCAAAATGTACATCTGATCACATTATCCACATAGGTCTGCTATGGCAGTGGAATTAATATTCCAATTCGAGTGCTATTTATCAAAAAAACCCTGTCAATACATGGCCAACAGCTTTCTGCTAAAAAATTCATCATTACTATTTTTACGCTCGTAAAAATGCCAATAAAATAAAACAATATCCTATTTCAAAATGATAAATCGTCAGCTTTTTTCTACCACAAAAAAAACTACAAGGAAAAATTTTTAAAATTTCATTTTGCGGATGTAACTTTTGAAATATTTTTACAAATACCGGCGATTGAAAAAATTGGATTTAGATCCTTCACCACAGAGTTTTCCCTGTGAGAAAACAAAAATCGATATCTAAAATCGATATACTTTATTATTAAAATCTCAAGTTACAGCGATAGAGGTAATATGTGGGTGAAAGTTCGAATTTGCATTATCTGCCTGTGAATGATCTCGGAGAAATGGGCCAGCGAGATAAATTTAGCACGCTGTAATCAGCGAAAGGAGAGAAGAGCGAAATTTTGCGACTCGCTAGATTAGTTTCCGCGAGCAAGACCGAACTCTCGAGATAATATTAAAGAGGTGCACGCGTATGTTTATCGAACTTGGCAGCAGTTTCTCGCTGCACGATCGCGACTTCCGATACACCTTTCAAAATTGTCCCTCGGCACATACAAATTTGCATCTTCTACATTTGAATTTAAAAGAGTAAAGAAGAAGTCAAAAATCGCGCTGCCAGACGACGGACGCCGGCGCAGTAAGAAGAAGCCGGCGTGTTTCGCGGCACAGCTCAGCTCTCGCTGTCATCCGCGTGCAGAAAGAGAGATAGAGAGGTTATAAGGCAGTGCTCACTTGGCCGACTGACGTATTTTGCCGAATTCGATCGTGCTCGATCTTATTATTTACCTTCCGTGCGGCTATTGCAGGCCTCATTTTGTTCCGATCGCATGCGCGATAAGAGCGACGTATTTCCATCGTTACCATGCACTTCTGTGCTCGCTCCCTGCTATACTTTCCAATTGCATTTGAGGCCGCCGCGCATTGTTTTTTATCGACTACATTTCTTGCGGCTATAAGTTTAGTGGCGACGGCATGTAATGGCTCGCACGTAAACAGTGTATAAATCGTTACGTAATGCCGAGCGACGTGCGTAATCAAAGCGACGAGTCAACAGTTGTCAAAACGATCGAGGAGAAAAAAAAACGATCGGGACGCAATTTACGATTGTTGGGAGCGAAAAAAAAGGAGGAATCGCTTTGGATTTCAAAAGTGAAAAGCAGCAATCACGGAGAGCAGTATTTGTAATTGTAGAATCGAAATCAACAGGTATAACGGCGGAACGGAGCGAGAAGCCACACCGCTGAAATATCAGAGCAGAATAAATCGATGCTTCTTCCGAAGATGCGGCAGCAGCTTTCTAGCGCGCGTCGCATTTTTTTTTCTTAGAATCAGAAATGCAAGTGCTCGTGTACTTACGGTTTATCGGGCTGAGACCTACGCACTCGCATCTCGGCCTTGGCAATCTCCTCGGCTCTGGTGACGCTTTTGGTGCGCCTCAGCCTGCAGCCGCCGCCGGTGCTCTCGTGATTGTTGTCGCCGTTTTGTGGCATTGTTTCGAGTTTTTTCTTCCTTGGCCCCGCTCAATCAGAACTGCAACAGAAGAGGCGAATTCGGCGATGGATGTATGCGAAAAACAAAGTAACACGGCACCCGCGCACGAACGAACGTAAATATCAGATTGTGTTGTGGATGGCGACTCGTGCACACTTTGCACAAGCAGCCGACACGGACTCGACTCTGCTTTGCTGTGCGTGTGTCGTCGCGAAAATTGGCTGCTCCGTGCGAAAGAGACCGACAGCTGAGCACTATGTGTACACAGTCGTCGATATTTGAGGTTATGCGCGAATATACGAGTCAACGCTCAGTCTTTTGCCCGAGTAGATATATGTGTGTGTATAGGTGCTTATATTAGCTGCGTATACATATAGCTCGCGGACATACTCGATTCCAAGGTGAGCGTAATACACACAGTATTGAACTTGGCCAGTCGCGAATCTGTGCGCGTTTGATTGATGCAAGATCAAATAGCAGATTTAGTCATTTGTAAGAAATTCGTGTAGTATGGTATTTTTAATTTGCGCGGAAAAAACGAGCTCGAAGAAAATATATGAGTCGTTAGAGTAATAATATCGACTTTTTTTAATACACATCATCGAGACATTGAGAAATCTTGTAATCCTTGAACGTAGTCTAGTGTGCTTAACCACGATGATTATGTTATTGAGCTTCTCAAGCGTAACGATGACAATCAAAATTACTCCTATACACATAAGTTGTGTCTCGATCTATGGATATACGGAGCAATGATCGTTATCGGACTAATATCTATAGCAACGATTAAAACGTCAAAAGCCGTTGACACAATTTCTTTTTTTCTCTCGTTTCTTTGCCATTTGCCGATTGCAAAAAAAAAGAGAAAAAAGAAATTGCAGCAAAGTCGAGTCCGGTGCATTCTCGTCTCTTTGGCTCAGCGGGAGAATTTCGTGTACGATTGTCAAATTAAACACGCGTCGATAAAGCGGTGCAAAAAATTGAATATCGATTTTGAGAAATCATGTAATATCGGCCCGCGCACGTGTGTAGCAATAGTCGATAAATTCACGTCACCCGTCGCGCGTGTTATATATAGCGGATCGTCTTGGACCTCTCACGCTCACGAGCATCATTGAAATATCAACATATCTTCGTGTATACAGATATATAATCACACGGGCCATGAATTCTGATCATAGCATCGATCACTCAGGCATCTGCGAAGCACTAAATACACCTATATGCACACTGTTATATACATGTTCTATATAATGTACACCAGTAGAGTAGCTCCGCACTGCTGTGTGCATCCTATACACAAAGACCATGTCAACGAGTAATACACGTTCACAAATTTATGCGCTCTACACGCGCATGTATACATACACAAACACACGAATTAATATGTACATACCTATGACGCCGTCTTGGAAAAGCCACGATGTAAATATAATGTAATATAATCGGAGCAGTTTGTGCGCCGTCCGCGGCACGACTAATCGACTTGCGAATGCGTAGAGTGCGAGCGTCGTCCGCGAGCGCGTGTGTCCGTGATTCTGATAAGAGAGAATTTCTCCCTGTACACAGATACGTATCGGCGCGACCACTCGACGCACTTATCGCGCTCTTTTTTCCTGCTGTTTAAGCCCGATAAAAAAAAACTCGGTCGGTTCTTATTTTTGGTTTAATTTTTTTCTCTTTTTTTTCGAGTTAATTACGTGGCCAGCGCAATTAACATTTAAAGGGTCAACGTTATGTTTTTTTTTTCAAGTTGGAGCACTCGTCTGCTGCGTATGCGAGCACGTCATTATAAACTATTACGAAATTTTAATCAAGTGATCCGACTGATACTCAAAACCGCATAACTATACAAACCATTTTACACATTTGAACTTTTCAACTCGCTCACTCTCTCGCTCTCTCTCTTTCTCTAAAGCACAAAATTGCACTCTAAACTTTGTCCGAATACACTCGGAGAAACATACACACGCACACACTCATTAGGAGTCTCTTTTACACCGGGTCTAGAGTATAGCCCAAGCTGCCTCGCGCTATATGTATAATAAATCGTCGGCGCATGCAGCCAAGCGCATGGCCCGCGCAAGTAGACTCTTAAAGCTTAGTGCGGCAAATAATGAACACGCACGCAAGGCTATATACATAATTAAACATTTCTAAATTCATAGCCGCGCGCGCGCGAGGCTGCATGTATGGTCGTCGGTGGGTACAGTATAGCAGTGCATCGGTGTTGGTTGGTGCAGCGTCGCAGCGCGCGAGACGGCGACGATTCCAATGGTTGAGTTGCTAAGTGTAACGAGCGCCAGCTGTACGTGGCGAACTTGTCGTTCAAGTATCGACAGCCTCTCTCTCTCTACACAGCAGAGCTTTTCGGTTTCGCGAAACTTACGTGTGTGTGTATTATATACCGTTGAGCAAGAGAAGCAGCGAGACAAGTTGGAAAGGGTCCGTGCGCAGGATATTACATGCCACGACGCCGAGAGAAGTATCTATTTGCTTCGACGCTTTACACAGAGAGAGAGACCTGCTGCAGAGTAAAGTCAACCATCCCTCGAACGATAAATCAAAGTAAGCGAGAGGAGAGAGTGAGTGAGGGAAGAGGAGAGAGGCAAGAGTTTGACGAGGACGATGATGCAGCTATGGCTCGAGGATGTATTGTTTCTTACCTCGAACCTGACTGAGCTTGCAGAACGTCGATTCTTCGGCCAATATAATGGACTCGAAAGTTTGCTGGCGCGCGCGATGTGCAGGGGAATATTTTTCTCTTGCTCGAGCTGCCTGCCTCGATCCCGCGGCAGCTATAAACCATTCCCTATACGTGCGCCAAAGGATATCGCGTCGTTAAAGTTGCGATAAAAAATGTTTCCAAAACCCTCCGTGTCAACCAAGAAGAAGAGAGAGCATTACCGTGGCGTTAACTTTTGGCACGTGACCTTTATTCGTACAACAATAATACATAACTCGCAGCTCAACTATTCAACAATTCGTCGCAGCAATTGAACAGTTCCACGCAGGTCATCGCGGCGCAGGTCAAGATGGTATCGCGCACCGCCGATAAGCAGCAGCTCGTGTACCTGCTGCACGAGTCCGGTGTGCATCCGGTCGGCTCCGTCGTGGTCTCCTCGGCCGGCACCGTCGAACTCTCGTCCGACGTGTTATAATAGTAGCGCATGTAATCGTTGTAGCTCGGGGGTGGCGCTTCGTAGTCGTCGCGAGCCACCACCTCGTACGACGGCACGGGATCTCTGTAGGGCAGATCGGGTCTTCTGGTTGGCTGCTGCTCCTCCACGGGAACGCCGAGAGCGCCCAGAGATAGCGCGAGCAATGGAATCTGCCGAGTAGAACGAGGAAAAATTGTTGATCGACCGATCTGTGATAAGCGGCGATTGTTGCGTATACTAACCGTAGCCAGTAGTAGATTCATCTTCACAACCTGTGTCGAAAGAGCTGTACGAAAAAGTGGACACGAGTTTCAACAAAATGAGCGCTTAAAAGCGTCGTTCCAGCGTCATAAAAATTAGTCATCGCTAACTGGCGCGTTATTGCCGGCTAAGCGCACGCGTGCAGCACGATTATGACGTAGCTGCGCGTGAAATGTCATTTTCGCAGTATGAATTCTAAATTTCGCTCACCCCCCGTCGACGAATCCCCGAAAAGTCGTGAAAAACATATTTACACTCGGGCGCGCAGTCAGCAGCAGCAGCAGCAGCAGCGACTGGCGCGGGCGTCTTTAAGTACGTCTTATAATTTCATCGCTTGGCATTATGCATATTTAAAGACACGAGAGGAGCAGAGCGTGGCATGTGGCCCCGCGTGCATTGTGCACGCGACGCGAGGACAAAAAAAAGGAAGGTTTCGCATGGATATGGCGGAGGAAAAAAATGGCAACCAATCTAGCTCTTTCTCTCCCTCTCTCTCTCTCTCTCTCTCTGTCTGTCGTATAATAAAGCGACAGCGCGCGGCGCATTATTATGACTTCTTCAAATGTGCTCGGGCGCTTTTTGCGCTCGCCGTGCATGTCTGACGGTCGTTATATACTTGAATATTACCGTGAAAACGTTTCCCGATATATGCGCCGCGCAGCGCATTTGACGACTTTGAGCGCCGGCAGATTTATACGTACGAGCTTCATAATTTATACGCTCGGGCAGATCGTCACGGCTTGACGTTTATATTTTTTTCCTATTTACGTATACATGAAACAATATATGGATTGTCTGTCTTTCTCTCTCTCTCTATCTCTCTCCTTCTCCCGTGAGTATAAACGCGCGGGTGTTCTTTTTTCTTTCCCCTTTTGTGCCAGGAGCGAGCCAAACGATAAAGAGCATAGCCCCAGCCAGGCGCGCGAGCAAGAAAGGCGCAGAAAAGTAGCCGCAAACTTGGCCGCAACGATCGAAAAGTTTAAAGTCCAGTGAAAAACTTTTGCAATATTGTTTGTCGTTGCGGCGTCATTCTTATACGTGTGTATATACGTAGAGAGCGAGAGATATTCGGATGCCGAGCTCGTGTGTACGCGCGTGTATACGTGTGCGAGAAATACACTCGAAAGTCGAACGCATCGAGCCCGGGGAGAGTTCAGTCGAGCAGAAACGGGCAAAGGTAGATTTGTATTCTGGATACGTGAGAAACGTCGTCGTAGTCGTTCGATTTCGCGATAGCCTTTGTTTTCCGGTTAGAGCGTCGGAGGCAGCTTCCCAAAGGCCGTGGCGTGCTGTGCGCTGAGCTACCTCTAGTCCTGTAACGATGATTGCTCAACAGAGGATTTCATTGTTGGTAGGGTGTATTAGACCGCACCAGTACATCCAGACTGGAGACGCGGCCTGTATACGTACCCACCGCAAATAGACACGCACTGCAAGCGGATATTTTATAGATATACGGGTGTATCGTGGTATCGAGCGTAAAAATGGATTTGAAGTCTAATCAAGCGAAATGATTGATTTTTCCGAGTCGATCAGTCGGGAGGGTCCTATTATATATAGTTTCGAGCTTTAGCGCAGCGCAAGAAAGGACAAATTTCCCGCTGAAACTTTTAAGTGTAACGAATGTACAAAGAGGATATGCATCCACGCAGACACAATAAGTTAATTAAGTCGCTTTTTTCCGCAACACCTGTAAATTACAATGAGCAGCAGCTCTCGCGCTAAAAACGCCCCGACGTTTCTTTGCCGCGCTGTTGCGCGATGTACACGCACATATATATATGTACCACGTCCGACGCGTATATATACACCAGTCCGCCCGCGCGTATACGTGTCTCTACGAGTTTAACCATAAAATTAATTTAAGCCCCTCCGTGTGTCTCTCTCCAGAGAGGAGCCCCAAGCCGGACGACGACTACGATGTTCGGGGCTTGCGCTCCGGCGATATTTCAAAAGGGAACTGTCGATACATGCTTGAAAATGACCCCAAGCTTCCAATTCTATGGACTTGGGACCGGTAAATAAATTAACAGTAGCTGCTGTAGACCAGCGACAGTAGCAGCAGCTATATCGGGAAAATCCCGATGGACGGACGGTGATCTGACTATTTTTTTTAACCCGGCTGCTGCTGCTGCTGCTGCTGCTGTGCACATCGCTCGTCCTGCGCGCGTCCGTACATTTTATGTATATATACGGGCATCTGTGGCCTGACGTTGCGAAAAGATGTGCTTGTTTTATTTACCCTATTTTTTCTTTTTTGTTCCTCAAACGTTTGAAATATCAAACGGGACATTTTTTTTCACCTTCGCTAGAGTAAAAAGATCGATTTTAAAGGCACCGATGGGTGGGAAATGGAAAAATATATACAAAAAAATGTATAAGCGCGCATCGCTCGATAAGTCAATCATCCAACATGCCGGAGAAGAAAAGTCTGCCCTTGCTCGCGATTAGGGCATCTTTAGCTCTTGGCTGTTCTTGGCCATCGTGAAACATTATACATTTTCCAAACACTAACAAATTACAAAATTCCATTATTAATAAATCCCCTGGGCAGGTTGGTTGGAAAATCCTTGGCCGCCACTGCCTGCTGCTGCCGCCTGCCTGCTTGCCAGCCACTGCTGCACAGCATCGTGTACTTACTCTCTAATAATTAAAAGAAGGCTTTAAAGCGATATTGAAATTAAAGCTCTTGCAGTGCTCTGGCTCTGGCGCTGCTCTTCGTAGCATTAATGGCGTTTGCTCGTCACGGTAGCGACAGCTACGCCTCGGGCATACACATCGAAGCTTATAACGCAGACACACTCATACACACACCCTCACCCTCGCGTGCACGCGCACATACAGAGGCAGACTGAGGCTGTGCCGCCTCATGCACAGCGGCTCGCGCAGTGTTTGCTTGTGTGCCTGCTGTACAGAGGAGTATGATCCTCGAGCGTATAAGCTCACAGCTAAGAGGCTATTTAGTTGGCTCCGCTGTTGATGCTACCACTGCTATTGCTGCCTCCGCCACTGCTGCTGCTGCTGCTTCTGCGACGTCATCTTAAAGGATATCAGCGAGCTCGCTTCAGCCACGTATACACACCTGATGCGTGCCTAAGCTTTTACCTCCTCCCTATTTTTTTCTCTTTATTCTAACCATAATGGAGGAGAGATAAAGGGTTTAGCTGAATAAAGCGTAAAAAAATTATTTCGTATTTGCTCGATTCTGCTAAATGGAATTCCTGACTAAAGTTTGATTAGACAACCAGACTTTTTACGCTTGCGATATAGTATAAGTTTTGTGATATTTTATCAGTAGCATCTAAGACATTGAAATAGTGAGTTGATCGTCACCAAATTAGCATTTTCAATTTTTTCAAACATTATAAGAACAATTTAGATATAGTTGAATCCGTAACTTAATTGTAAAAAATGTGATCCTAAACGATTTTGACACACTGATTATGTTTATAGTGAAAACAAATTAGTTTGAATTTTGTCTTTTAAACCATAATATCAAATAGTTATTTTCGAGAAGTCGCACATCTCTAAACGGTTAATCTGTTCTTCGCTCTTGAAACCTACGTGACATCGACGGTACAACTTCGTGCGCTCTTCAACGATCAGCGCCAGATGCGGTGTCATTTTTACCAAATCTAATGCGCATAGTGGCAAAAACAATGGAAAAATTCAACTCTGATTCATCGACTTGTAAAACAGGTTTTGGAGCGAAAATCGAAACACTTAGTAAGAGCCTCTTACCCCCAAGTGACTTTTTTCTTTCTACTACGCAAAGAAAAACACCAATTTTAGCTACAAAAAAGTTTCTCGTGACGCGAACCCGATTGGGTTTCCACAACAAAATTCTAGTCACAATTAAAAAGATATTTACTGAAATTGAAAATTTGAAAGTATGAGACACCGCCAGCTCACGGCTGTAGCAACATAACCAGATGTAAGCTAAGCGATTGTAGCGAGTTACTTATGCGTTCGGCTCCTAACTGTTTTTCATAGATTTTCTTCCGAACATTTCAACCTTTGAAAACCAACGCATATAATAAATCGAATCCAGGCCTAAGCCACGAAAAAAGAAAGTCCCAGTCCACATGTTCATCAGTCTCGGTCGCCTATTGTATGGGTTCTGTATACTATTACAATTACAAATTTCGAAAACTTACTATAAGAGCTCACGAAATCTAAGGTCGATTCGTAGTTGCAACGTTTCTGTAGCGTCATGTTCACGCTTTTCTCCGCCTAGTATTACGCGTATACAGTCGGATTAGAAAGTGTCAGTCCACCGAAGTACAGACGATTGTAATTACTGCCACGCATGTTGCATACATGGGGGGGATCCATTATACTACGCTAGATTTAGGATTTCTAATTTTTATTGTGCATTGCTCTCTACATAGCTCTATAGTAAATCTTATGTGTAGAGTCAGTATGCGTTACGACGCCGTAACGTGAACACCGCATCGAAAGATCGCATCAAGAGCAGCAAGTGATTTTTGTGAAAAAAATACGTATTTTTAAGTACAAGTGATTGTATTTTTGTATGTGTGAATGTGCAGTATTATTTTGATATCGTGGCTTTCTTCAACTCGGACTTGGAAAAATTGAAGAACGAGAAAAAGACATATAATCTTCTGGCAAGCTACTGGTACGTCGAATGACATCAGTGCATCACGTGGCTCTATGCAATGCTGAGCTCATGAGCTGGTAACACTTGGTCGGACAATTTTTTAATATACATGGTAGATACGACGTGAACTACAGCGACGAATTTGTATTTAATCACTTTAATCAGAAATAGGTGCTTCGCCACTAAACTTGGTCGTTGGGATCTGTATAAGAAATCACGTGGTCGAATTGCTGCTAAGAAGCGGTGTGATCCGAAGTATACTATGGAGTATATGCATAGGCTCTTAGTGAAGTATTATCCGCCGGTGGACATCAATGCTCCGGACAATGTGAATAACTTACCGCTACACTTTGCTCTGTCCCGAGGCCATATGCAACAGGCCGAAGAGCTGCTGCGGAAAGGC